TATAAGTTATTTTAACAAGTTCTACTCTCTGTGATGTTTACATATGAAAAAACTAAACATTTTGTTGCAGAAATGAAAGAAATCCATTCATATCCAAAGTAACCCTAAACAGTCAACCAGCTGGTTGACCTGCATATCTGCTTCCTGATTGAGTAATCCGAAAAATATAAACTGAAATGTTGCTTAATGAAGAGGCAGGAACACAATTTTACCAACAAATATTTTTTTGCAAATGGATTTCTTAGTGTGGAAGTCAAAGGGTTAAGTACCGCATCCCCACCTGTGACATTTTCCAGCACTCACAGAGGTAGGATAGGATAGGATAGGATAATACTTTATTGATCCCCAGAGGGGAAATTCGGGCGTTGCAGCAGCACAGACAAGTAAGCTCAAAATACACATTAAACAGAATAGATAAGATAAATACAAATAAAAACAGGGGTATATACAAGTACAAAATGAATGATGAAGTTAACTATGCATGGAAATTGAGACAGTATTTGCAGAGAATGACAAGATAAAGTGACAAGTGATGATTAACGTGACTTGGTATGATAAATAGCAGCAAGTAATGTAAACAGCAGAGACGAGAGGCAGTGTTGTACCACAGTAATGCAGAGTGCAGTTATATAATGTAGTATAGCAGGTTATCCAACACACAATACAAAAAACACAATGTTAGCAAATCTAAACACAATATAATATTAACTACAAAGTAATTAAGTACTAAAAGATATAAAAAATAAGAATGTTCTATATTGGTTGCCAAGCATTTACATTTTGAACCAGACAATATCACATCTGATAAAAATGGGAGATTTATAATTGTCTCAGGGAAACTATTTAATACAAAAGTTATCCTTGCCAATGTCTACGCTCCGAATGCTGATGATGTTAGCTTTTTTGATAGTTTTTTCTCTCTTCTCAATGGCCTAGACACACATTATCTAATACTTGGTGGGGACTTCAACTGCTGGTTGGACCCGACCCTGGATCGCTCTTCCAGCAGACCAGGGGTAGTGAATAAATCTGCCTCATGTATCCAGTCTTTAATCTCTGAGTTTGGGATTTCAGTTATATTCCTCAACCCTAGAGCGAGACAGTATTCCTTTTTTTCAAATGTCCATCACACTTACTCCAGAATAGACAATATTTTTGTTGACAACAGACTAATTCCTCAGGTCCATTCCTGCACATATCACAGTATCGTCATATCTGATCATGCCCCTGTTGTGATGTCAATGCTATTTCCCAACGCTCCACAGCCTACGAAGAACAGATTAGCTTTTTCTTTGAAACTAACTGTACCCCGGATGTCTCTGCTCTTGTGGTCTGGGACGCATTTAAGGCCTACTTGAGAGGACAAATAATAGCATTCACTGCAAATAAGAAAAGACAGTCTCAGAAGGACCAACTGGAATTGATATCTAAAATCCAAGAAACCGATCGACAATATGCACTTAACCGAACTCCAGAACTATATAACCAACGATTGGAACTGAAAACTAAGTTTAACCTTCTCACCACTTACCAAACGGAAAATCTCCGGTTAAAAAGTAAAAGCACCTACTATGAACATAGTGAAAAAACTGGGAAATTGCTGGCTAATCAACTAAAGGGACTAAGGGCTAAACAACTTATAACAAGTATTCACACAGACAGTGGTGATACCACTCTAGACCCCACTAAGATAAATGATACCTTTAAAGGTTTTTACTCTGTGGAATCTTATATTCTTTATACTTTTATGTTTGCTCATTAACTGATCCAATGCATTACACATAGCATTACACATATCACGTATACATGCACCGTGTCCTTATATGACCACTGCAACACACGAACCTTGCACGATACTCACCTCACCACAGGTGTTTTATCTCACGTACACAGACTCAACAACAGCTCCTTATAAGGACTATTTTTTAAACTCTCAAGGACAAGTTACTGCTACATTCACATATTTATACACTGACCACAAGGTGCTGACACAGATAAAGCTGCACCTGTTTCTTTGATCCTCCTCTGTAAGTTTCGATCACACTATATGCTCAAGTATATAAAGATTGTACGCCCCAAGAGCGGGCAGAGAACTTACTTTGTGTATCCTGTACGCATAGCTGAACTTCTCTCCATGCTGCATGTAATAAACTGGGTGACTTAGCAACTCAACAGTTTCTGAAAGTCTCTTTTATTTGCTCTCGTCCCAAGGGTCGGAGGGTTTCCTCTTTCTGCTGATTTTCTGCAGGCCCAGTTCTACCACAATTACATGGCGACGAGGATGGGATTCCTAACATCAACCGGGTAGTTTCCTCCGAAACAACTTCTCCACCCAAGTCAACTGAGGAATAGGTAAGTCAAACACCTTTTCTAAAGTTTGACAGTTTAGGGGTGGAGAGTATAGAGTTGTGAGAAGGGAGCTCTAGGTTTGGTAACGGAATCCCTGATAAATTTTGGGTAAAGAACCAGAACTGTGTGAAACTACTCTGACCATCGGACGATAGTGAAAAAAATAAAAGAAGAAGAATAAAATAAGGTAAATAAAAGAAGAATAATAAAATCAAGTACCTAAATTTGTATAAAATAGTGGGAACGAATTTGTTAAACTAAAATTCTGGGTTTCATGAGGAAACCTCAGAGACGTTTGAGGGAGTACAGTGAAAACAGAATATTAAACTGAAATTCTGGGTTTCATGGGAAACCTCAGAGACGTCTGAGGGAGTACAGTGAAAACAGAATGTTAAACTAAAAATCTGGGTTTCATGGGAAACCTCAGAGACGTTTGAGGGAGTACAGTGAAAACAGAAATTAAGCAAAGGATTGCAAAAACAAAGATAAAGTAAAATGGCTATGCTAAAGTGATAAAATAAAACAAACAAATAAAAGGAACAATGGGAAAATCAACCAGTAAACTAAAGCCTGATGGCGAAGGTAATACTCCGGATAGATCAATCTTAATGCAAATGAAAACAGGGTACCCTGACATAGATTGGCTTAAAATTTTCAAACGTTGGAACAAAAAAAAAAAAATAATAAAATAAAATAAAATAAAATAAAATAAATAAATAAATAAATAGAAATAAAAAAAATAAATAAAAAAAATGGCCGGTACTGGGCACTTGCGACCCAAAGAAATGCGCAAAAGTGGATAAAATGTTGAAAGAAAAGTGGTGGGGAAAAGATGGCAAAGGAAAAGCAGGACCAAAGAAGAGTGAAGACCTCCATTGGGGGCTTGTGAAAGGTCATGTTGAAAAGAAAGCAGCAGTAAGTAGGGAGAGAACAGCGCTGAAAACAGCGGCTGAAATGTCAGAAAAGGCACAGCAGGAAGGTGAAGCAAACGAGAAACTTAGATTAATGTTACATTCAGTTAATCAGCCAGGAGAGCCAAGCAAACCCCCAAAAACAGATAAAGCCAAAGTTACAGCTTGGTCTCCAAATAATCCATTTGGTAAAAAGGGCTCAACTGTTAAGTTGTACCCCAGCCTGTTAACAAAAGAAGGCTCTCCCCCTGACTATAGCTCAGATGACGAATTGTACCTGTATAGAAATACACCACAAGCACCCGCACCCAGACAGGGCAGAAGCGGACAGGCTGCAGCTGCACCGCAACAACAGGATGAGCGAGCAGAGGGAGGGGGAGATAGCAGTAAGGAGCTTTCGGGCGGATCAGATGAAGAACAAAAAGCACCGAGACATTCTGAAAGACTTAAACAGCAAAAATTTAAAAAAGAACAAGACAAAAAGGAGCAGGGTCAGAAAGGAGCTAGCGGATCAGGACAGGGAGGCACACACGTGCTCGAAGCCCCTTTAAGAATATTTCCAGGAATAAATGGGGATGGGTCTCTTATCACTGCATACCGCCCCTGGACTAAAATGGAATTAAAACAACTGACTGACGATACCCCAGATCCTAAGAAGGACGTGACTCAGACTATAACATATCTAAAGAGACTGTCTGGATGTTTCCATCCCTGTCAGGGTGACTGGTACAGCTTTTGTATGGCGCGTTGGCCTAAGCTCGAGGATAGATGGAGAATACATCTTGATGCACAGAGCGCAGCTGCAAAAGATCAGACAGAAGAAAGGGGCGAACTTATGTTGGAAGAAATAATGAAGGATTTACAGACTAAATTCAAAGTCAACCCAGATTGGGGTAAACTGTCAGGACTACATAAAAGAAAAGAGGAACAGGTGGAAGATTTTGTGACTAGGTTGCAAAACACATTTAAGAAATACTCAGGCTTAACCTCAGAGCAGTTCGCCCCGCTTCTTCCGCGCGCATTCGTTGACGGATTAGAAAGACATTCCAGAGAAGTGATAAAACAAGACCTCGCGTGGGAGGTAAAAACTCTAGAACAATGTGTAGCTATAGCCAAACACTTGGAAAGAAATCGACGAAATGCTGAATCCTCTGATAGTTCTAGATCAGAGTCTGACACCGATTGTAAAAAAATAAATAAACTAAGACACAGCAATAAGGGAAAGAGAGACAAACGTAAACAATATTCTGGTGCTGTAAAACAAATGATTGTGCAACAGCCCAGCAGGCTGCCCCTACCCAACCCTCCTCTCTCCCACAGACACAGTTTTTATCTCCAGCTCCCACACAGTGGCCAGTTTATCACCCCTTTCCAGCAGCTCAAGGAACCAACCCCTTTCACAGTCGAGAGCCACCCCAAGGTCAACAGGTAAGACCAGATCAATGTCTGTACTGTGGCCAAAGTGGACATTGGGCCAAAGACTGTAGATTGAAGGCCAGCCAACAAGGGCGTGGCCGAGGAGGAGCCCCAGGTTTAAACAAACCCGCCTACAGAAGTAACTGGGCTCCTCCTAGAGGAGGGGGCGGAGCTGGAGGCATGAATAGACAGCAAATGGGTCCCCCTGGTGGACCATTCCTGCACCCACAATAGGCCAGCGAGGCTCCACACCTAGGCTCACAGGGAAGTAAGCCACCCACACTTACACAAACACTAATTCCCCTTTTATTAGCTCCTCTTTCTGTTTCTCCAGATCCGAAGGCAGTGATGGAAATAAACAGGACCTCAACTGAGATGCTAGTAGACACTGGGGCTACTGTTTCTACCCTGACTCCCTCTGATGCAGCTGCTGCTAATGTTGCACCCACCACAGAAACCCTAAGTACCATAGGAGTGGCTGGAATTACGCAACAAAATTATGTCTCACAACCTGCTGCAGTGTCTTTTCAGGGTCAAAATCTGGAGCACTCTTTTCTACTTATGGGCGACAACTCACCAGTAAGTTTAATGGGAAGAGATTTATTAGGTAAGTTAAAAGCCACTTTGGTATGCCATGCTAATTCTGTTGAATTACAGCTCCCTCCAACTTCCCAGATGTCCATGACAGTTAACCAGCCTGGACTTTTCTACAGCCTAATGTATAATGACTTTCAGTCAGATATTATTATAAGAAGCATGGTGCCTTTTACATTTGATCTATTGCAGGAGTTTCTCTCAGACAGCCCAGACCTCCCTGATGTTTCCTCAGCTTGTGTCCCTCCACACCGCATGCACTGGACTTTGCACGTTGACCCTACAGGACGAGACCTTGAGTATTTCCATCATTTTTCTCCCTTCTTAGGACAGGCCTGTAGTGTTTTTGCGTGTACCATTTTGTTGTGTAAGCAGGGGAGTGCCCTATTGACACATCAATTGGGCCCAGTAGCCTCCAGCTTGTTCCAGCAACCTGACTCCGCCCCACACCTGACTCTCTACACCTGTGAAGGTTACGAGCCTAAAGACTTAGGTCCCATAGCAAAGACCTTACAGACTCTGACTCCAACCATCTCACATTTGTACCAAGGAATGGTGTACTCCCACTATGAGGGCGTGGCATGGACAGTGACAGTAGATGACTCATGGTTAGCTGATGACGAAGATCCTGTATGCACCATTTCACCTTTTAAGACCACTGACATGTCTCACCCTCTTTCTCTGTTCTCAGTTTCTGTTCCTCCTCAGTCCCCTGCCACAGCAGGAGTCCCAGACACATTGTGGTCTCAGTACTCTAATGAGTGTGGCCTAATGTTGTCTCACCCTCCTGTGTCAATTCCTGTAAAATCAGGTCCTGCTCCCAGAAAACAGCAGTACCCCCTCTCACAGGCCTCTCTGGAAGGCATTAAGCCTGTCATCGCTACCCTTTTAGACCAAGGAGTTTTGGTGCCGTGTCAGAGCCCCTGTAACACCCCTATTCTACCCGTTAAGAAACCTAACTCCCCTGACTGGCGGTTTGTTCAAGATCTCCGCCTGATAAATGACTATGTGGCTCCCATGACTCCTGTAGTACCCAGCCCCACCACCATCCTAACCTCTATTCCTCCCTCTACTCAGTGGTACTCTGTTGTTGACCTCTGTTCTGCTTTTTTCAGCATCCCTGTCTCCCCAGAGTCCCAGTACCTGTTTGCTTTCACCTACGGTGGGCATCAGTACACGTGGACTCGCCTCCCACAAGGTTTTATTCACAGCCCCACTCTTTTTGCCCGAGCCCTTCTTACAGATCTAGCTGACGTTCAACTCCCTGGAGGCAGTGCCTTGATCCAGTACGTGGACGACCTGTTGGTAGCCAGCCCCACCAAAGAGGCATGCGAAACGGACACAAGAGCTCTGTTGTTGTCATTGGCTGAGAAGGGACACAAGGCCAGCGCCACGAAAGCCCAGCTGGTGCAACAAGAAGTGATCTACCTGGGCCATGTTCTCAAAGGTAACACCCGCCAAGTCAGTAGTAAACGTGTTTCTGCTGTTTTGAACATTCCAAAACCCCACACCAAGAAGCAGCTGAAGTCGTTCCTAGGCATCCTCGGGTACTCCAGACCATGGATCATAGACTTTGCCCCTCGAGCCAGGCCCCTTCAAGACATGCTCCTGCAGGCAGCTCCTGAGCACCTCCAATGGACGGAGGATGCAGAGACAGCGTTCACTGACTTAAAACAAGCACTTTCACAGGCCCCGGCGCTGGGTCTCCCTGATTACAGCAAACCTTTCCAGCTGTACGTTCACGAACGCAATGGGTTTGCCTCTGGTGTTCTCACTCAACAACATGGCTCTAACAAACGCCCAGTAGGTTACTATTCCACTCGCCTTGACAACACTGAGCTGGGTTTGCCCCCGTGTCTCCGAGCTGTGGCGGCTGCTGCTTTCATGGTAAGAACCGTGTCTGACCTGGTATTGGACTCTCAGTGTAAACTTTATGTTCCCCATGCAGTGAGTGCTCTGCTTACCAGAGCCAGCACACAACACCTTTCCGCAGCCAGACAGTCATTGTTGCTGCTGTCTATGCCTAATCTTACTATTCACAGATCTCCAACTCTCGATCCCTCTTCTCTCCTTCCTACTGCTGCTGACGGTGAGCCCCATGACTGCCAGGCGACGGTAACAATGACCTACACCATTCGTGAAGATCTCTTTGACACCCCTTTGTCTAACCTGACCTTACCCTGTTCACTGACGGCAGCTCTTCTAGAAACCTGCAGGGCACGCCTTGATTCAGGTTGGGCTGTAGTTTCTCCCACTGGCACCATTCTTACAGGTAAACTTCCAGCCACTTCTCTGCTCAACAGGCGGAGCTAGTGGCTCTCACTCAGGCATGTATCTATGCAAAGAATAAATCTGTTAACATCTACACTGACTCTCGGTATGCTTTAGGTGTCTGCCTTGATTTTGGTGGAATCTGGAGACATCGTGATTTCTTAACATCTGCAGGCACCCCTATTAAAAATGCTTCCCTAGTAGAGGCTCTCCTAAAAGCTCTCCTTCTTCCTTCTAAAGTTGCTATTCTCAAATGTGACGCCCATACATCTTCCAAAGATCCTGTGAGCCTCGGTAACGCAAGAGCTGATACTGCAGCAAAAGCCGCTGCGGTGTCAGGAGCCCTCGCTCCCGTGTTGGCGACCTCAACACTGGTTTCTCCCAGCCCGGATCCCTCCGTCCATGACGTAGCTGCCTTACAGTTAGCTGCCGAACCCTTGGAACGATCTCACTGGCAGACAAAATGTGTTCTTGTAAATAATGTATATTACTCTGTCGACGGGCGCCCGTGTTGCCCTCAGTCGCTCCTCCCCTACCTCTTACAGACTGTTCACGGTGTAGCACACGTGAACAAAGGGGGGATGGAAGCGATAATTAGACGTGTATGGTATGCAAATAATGTATCCCAGGCATGTGCTGATTTTGTACAAAGATGTGCCATTTGCCAACAACACAACGTTGGAAAGACAACAAAAGTGAAACAAGGTGCTCATCCTGCTCCACCAGGACCATTTTCAAATTTACAGATTGATTTTATCCAAATGCCAAAACACGGACGGTTTCAATACGTCCTGGTCATGGTGGACACATTCTCAGGATGGCCCGAAGCTTTTCCTACTGCAAAAGCAGACACAACAGCAGTATCAAAAGCCTTACTCAAAGAGTTCATTCCAAGGTTTGGTATCCCAGTATCCATTAATAGTGACAGAGGGACTCATTTTACTGGACAAATAGTGCAAGATGTTGTTACAGCACTAGGAATCAAACACCACCTGCACACACCTTACCATCCACAAAGTGCAGGGAAAGTTGAAAGGTTGAACCAGACTCTGAAACTCAAACTAGCTAAAATATGTGCACAGACACAACTTAGCTGGCCGGAGGCTCTTCCTCTGGCCCTGATGAGTATCAGAGCTACTACTAGCAGACGTAATCATTTATCTCCATATGAGGTGATTACAGGACGAGCCATGAGCACCCCAGGATCTCTGGGCACTATGATAGTGCCTCAAGAAATGGCCCTGAGACATGATAGTGTACTAAACTATTGCAAAGCGTTGCACTATGTCTTCTCATCCATTCACAAACAGGTTCGTGAAGGACAACCACAACCCTGAACGAACCAGGACATCCACTGCAACCAGGTGACTACGTGGCTATAAAGATCCACCAAAGGAAGACTGCACTGCAGCCCCGGTGGACCAAACCTTATCAGGTTCTACTCGTCACAAACACCGCAGTAAAGGTCGAAGGTCGACCTACATGGATCCACGCATCCCACTGTAAGAAGGTAACACCACCTGCTGCAACGGCTGACAAGACAGCATTAGAGCGTTGAGGAATTAGTCGACAGGAGTGTACGACGTGCTCTGCTCCTACAGCAGGCAACATGGCTCCAACTCCAACCCTCCTGCCATTGACTGAGAGGCAGCCACGCGGTCAGAAGAGAGACAGGCCCAGACCATGGCATCCTTTTAGAAATCATAAAGGCCTGTGTGGCCTCCGAGGCACGACATGTATCCTCCTAATTTTTGCTAGCATTGTGCTAGCACCTTGGTTATGGTATCAGCTGCAAGAAACTAACACTAAATCTGTAACCACTCCCACTAAACCCTCTCTCACCAACTCTACAGCACCCGATGTTAACACCACTTTTCTCCACAGCAACAACCACGTGAAAGACGGTCTGTATCCTCTACCACTGTCTCTTGTTTCACACCTTCTCCCAAACAAACTCATAAGGCCATTCCTCAGATTTTCCTTCCTAGAAATCAGCATTGATGAGCAATTTGTTTGGTAAATGGAAAGGTCTAATTATGTCTGTCCTACTTTCAATTGCAGTCATGGCTGCGATTCTCATTCTCTGTGGTTGTTGCTGTATCCCATGTATTAGAGCTCTTATGACTCGCTTGATTGACCGTGCTATTTCACCCCCACATCCTGAAGATGCTGTGCAAAATTTCCCGCTGCTAGCGGTTAATGGTGATGCTAATGACGCTGATGATGAAAATGAAGGCTACCCCGATCTCAGTTTCTTCCCCTTTGATGAGTGATGTGTGAAGGATGTTTTATGTTTTATTTTGTTTTATTGTAGTTTGTTCTAAAGAACAAAAGGGGGGAATGTGGAATCTTATATTCTTTATACTTTTATGTTTGCTCATTAACTGATCCAATGCATTACACATAGCATTACACATATCACGTATACATGCACCGTGTCCTTATATGACCACTGCAACACACGAACCTTGCACGATACTCACCTCACCACAGGTGTTTTATCTCACGTACACAGACTCAACAACAGCTCCTTATAAGGACTATTTTTTTAAACTCTCAAGGACAAGTTACTGCTACATTCACATATTTATACACTGACCACAAGGTGCTGACACAGATAAAGCTGCACCTGTTTCTTTGATCCTCCTCTGTAAGTTTCGATCACACTATATGCTCAAGTATATAAAGATTGTACGCCCCAAGAGCGGGCAGAGAACTTACTTTGTGTATCCTGTACGCATAGCTGAACTTCTCTCCATGCTGCATGTAATAAACTGGGTGACTTAGCAACTCAACAGTTTCTGAAAGTCTCTTTTATTTGCTCTCGTCCCAAGGGTCGGAGGGTTTCCTCTTTCTGCTGATTTTCTGCAGGCCCAGTTCTACCACAACTCCCAACTGTATACCTCACAATTTAATGGTGACGATGCAGCTATTAAGGCCTTTCTTGACCCTTTGTCCACCCCAACCATTCCGCCAGAGTTGGTGGAGAAAATGGAGGCTCCTCTGTCTCAGGCGGAGATAGCCCTGGCTATATCATCCATGCAATCGGGAAATCCCCTGGCCCTGATGGCTTCCCAGCTGAATTTTTCAAGAAATTTTCAGCACTCCTCTCTCCACGCCTTGCTACTGTCTTTTTCGAGTCTCTTAGGCGAGGCTCACTTCCTCAGTCGATGAATGAGGCTCGTATAACTCTTATAGCTAAAAAGGGTAAGGATCCCACATACTGTGCCTCGTACAGGCCAATCTCCCTGCTCAACACAGATGCGAAAGTCCTCGCCAAGACACTAGCACACAGGTTGGAGGAAGTTACCCCTTAATAATAGCGCAGGGTCAGACTGGCTTTATAAAGAACCGACACTCCTTCTTCAATGTCCGACATTTATTTAACATTCTATACTCAAGCTCTAGTAATGTCCCCGAATGTGTCATGACACTAGATGCAGAGAAGGCGTTTGATCGCGCTGAGTGGAAATATTTGTTTTAAAGTTCTGGAAAATTTTGGATTAGGTCCGTTACCTATAGCCTCGATTAAATTATTGTATGCTTCTCCCATTGCTAAAGTTCAAACAAACAGCACAATCTCTCAGCCCTTCGCAATGGCTCTTCGGAACAGCCAGGGTGTCTCTGGTATTTGGAGAGGGGGTACAGAGCATAGGGTGTCTTTATATGCAGATGGTCTCCTATTATATATTTCAGACCCAAATACCTCGCTTCCAGCAGCTCTCTCCCTGCTTGAGCAATTTGGATCTATATCTGGATACAAGATCAATATGCACAAGAGCAACTGTTTCCAATTAACAGACAGGCGTTTGACTTAGACTACAGTGGCATTCCATTCCAAATTGAAGAGAGACAATTTACCTATTTGGAGTGGTTGCTACCCGACAATTTAAGAACATTTTGAAAGACAATTCTATAACCTTGTTAAACCAGGTCAGAACATCACTATCAAAGTGGTCCCCCTCACATTATCGCTCGCTGGGCGAATAAAACTCCAAAAATGAATGTTCTCCCAAAATTTACATATTTGTTTCAGTGTGTCCCAGTACTTGTTCCAAAATCGTTTTTGTTTCATTGGATTCCATTATCTCCTCATATATATGGCAGGGCAAGAGGCCTCGAATTAGCAAAGCTCTGCTTCAGAGACCCAAAAGGATGAGGTATGGGGCTCCCTGATTTCCGTCACTACTAGTGGGCTACCAATATTCGTTGTATTGCTTTTTTGGACTCGCTTTTATCTCCAGTCGACGGTCCAGACTGACATCTCTGGAGCTAAATTCATGCCGAGACATCTCCCTCCCTGTACTCCTCGGTGCGCCGCTTGACTGCCCTTACCAAAATCACTGGATAATCCAATGGTACGTCATACCCTTTGGGGTGGACCCAATGTAGGAGATCCTTTCGATACGAATTCTTTTCCCTTCTGAGTCCGATTGCCTCAAACCATCTCTTCACCCCCTCGCGCGCTGACTCAACTTTCGGACTTGCATGAAAGCGGCATCAGATCGTTTGCGACTTGTTTGAAGACGGTTGTTTTGTTTCCTTTAATCAATTGACTGAAAATACAATTTACCCAAAACGCACT